CGGAGCGGGGGGCACCCGGAGGCTCCCGCCCCCGCCTCCCCGAAGCCGTTCACCTGCCGCCGCGCCTCCGCCTCCGCCTCCTCCATGGCGCGCTCCGGCCACGCGGCCTCGCCCGCACCGTCCGCTCCGAGCCCGGCCGCTGCGCCCAGACTTTCACAAACTTCCCGGGATCGGCGCCCCCTCCTCCCCGGGTCCGCGGCCTCCGGGGCCGGGACTCAGCGCCGCCGCTCGGCCGCGCCAGGTCGGCTCCCGGGGCTCCGCTCCCGGACCCGAGGGCTTTGGCTTCCTCTCCGGAGGCGCCGCTCCGGGACCGGAGGGCGGGCTGGGGCATCCCGGGCGGCAGGTCCGGGCCGCTCGCCGCGTGCTCAGAGGGGCGGGTCCGAGCGGCCAGCGCCGCCTGCTGACCGCGGGCGCTGCCGGGGCCGGTCCCTGCGGGCGGGTCACCTCCTCCCCAGACCCCGCCAGGCCCGGCCCCGCCCCCAGCGTCTTCCTCCGAGGCCGTCGGTGTCAAAGGGGCCAACCCCAACCCTGTGGCCCCCAGGCCTTGGCGCGTCTAGTTCCTTTAGGACTGAACAGAGGGAAGCCTCCCCCGGTGATGCCGAAGCAAACCTCAGGGCAATGGACCAGAACGTGTCTGTGCCTGGGCCCGGCGGTGGCTGGCCTGTGGAGGGGACCCAGGTTCCTTATTGCCAGGCCTGTGGCTGTCAGCCACTTCCTGGGGTCGTCCTCGCCTGCACCTGTGCCAAAGGAGCGTCTCCCAGAAGTGACCAATGCGGGAAAAGTGAAACTGGAGGCCACGGACAATACTGGGACTTCAGTCCAGAAGCATCACCAACTGCAAAGGCAACTTGTTTCATAGGGGACAAGCCTGCTTTTCAGTCAGAGGCGGGTCCGGACACTTACTGATGTTGAGGGACACTTTAACACATAATAGGCTTTTTTAAAAAAATCTTTATTCAGATTATTACAACCGTTTTTCTTCCCCCCCCCCCCCAATAGCTCCCCTCCCCACCCTGTCCTCATCCATAGGTATTTTTGTCTAGCCTTTTCCATACCCCCCACACAGGCACCCCAAGAATTATCAATCCCCTCCCATTCTATGCCCCTGATTCTACATAACAGGTTCTTTTAAGTGGGGGCTGTTACATCAACTGCCCTGAGGTGAATGTAATTAAGCATCATTAGGAAGTCAGGACTATCTGCTTCAGACCACAGCTCGTAGGTAAGTGGGAAAACCATGAATTGAACTAGCAACTCCCTTCAGGAGGGCGGTTCTGCTCCCAGCCTGAGGGCCACTCCTGCACCCAGAAAGCTGAACTATGTCAAAGAACCGGCATTTATTTTCCAAATTTTCCTTGAACTGTTCCACTGCCTCACCTGTCCATCTTTTTTAATGAACCTGTCTGGGCAAACCTACGGGGAAACCTGATGGGAGTCTGACGGGACAGCTAGCTGTACTGTATATGACAGTGATAGGAATTCATGAAACATTTATTCTTAGCAAAATGGAAGTTTACATTAAACATCCACCATGTGTAACTATCAACCTGAAAGGAACCTATGACCAACATCAACCCATCCACATCACTTAGACTTGCCTCCCTCAGGTAGTATCTGAGCACACCATGTCACCAACTCATCAAGCCAGCACACATCCTTCTAATCTTTTCCTTCAGACCTGTTAAAAAAGTAAACTTGTAAACTAAGGCAGATATTCAAAAGGAAATGGTTACTGCTGAGGTGAGGGATATAAAATAAGATGTCCTCTTTGTTCTCAAAGGATGTGCTTTTTAAAAAACACTTTTTTTTAATTGATTTCTGAGGAAGAGGGAGAAACATCAATGAAAAAATCACGGATTGATTGCCTTCTGCACACCCACCACCGGGGATCTAAACTGGGAATCTAAACATGGCCTCCTGGTTCAATGGTCAAGGAGCAACACCACTAGGCAAGATTGGCAAAAAATTAATCATAGAATAATATAACAAAAAAGGCAGAAAAATCAAGTGTTTCTGGGACCAAGAGAAACCAATGAAGCCGCCAAAATCGGTTTGGCTCAGTGGTAGAGCAACGGTCTGTAGACTGAAGGGTCCCAGGTTCGATTCCGGTCAGGGGCAAGTATGTTGGTTGTGGGCACATCCCCGGTAGGGGGTGTGCAGGAGGCAGCTGGTCGGTGTTTCTCTCTCATCGTTTCTAGTTCTCTCTCCCTTCCTCTCTGTAAAAAATCAATATATATTTAAAAAAAAAAAAAAGCATGAAGCCACTTGTGCCATAAAGCAGAATGGTAAGACTGCCAGATAATTCGGAAACACAATTGGCCAGGAATCCTCTAAAAGCCCAAAAGGTCATACCTCTTTTATAGCCAAACAGCTAACCCAAGATCAGGGTACTCTGGACCAGTTAAACCCTACATCTTAGAGCCAGAGTTGCGTGAGCTAGCGAGGGACTGTTTATGATAATCTTTTAGAAACCAATGTTAACCTCAACTAGAGGGATGTTCTAAAATAGAATACTCAAGGTTTTCAATAAGACACATCATAAGCTACTATCTTCTATGCCCCGATTCATTAGTTAAGTTCCTCTCCTAAACTGAGCACAGCAATTTGGGGAGACTCAGCCATTTGCTCTTTTGAAATGTTCTTTTACCGAAGAAACTTTGAGCCCTTCACCTAGCACTTTCCAACACATACTTACCTAAGGGCCAACCCAAGAACTCTCTTTGCAATTGGGCACAAAACATGCCAGCTGCTCTGCAGCCATTTTCCAGGACCCTAATGCCACTTTCTCACAGCCTAACATGCTACAAGATTTGCAGGCAGGGGGGAATCTCCATAAAAGGAAAATGACCTTTAGTGACTTATTTTTTAATTTGACAAAATATTATAAAATGCAATTTCATGTATATAACCTGACCATACCACCACCTCACCAGTACAGAAAAAATATGGGTAAGGTGTAACTATAAAAAACCACAGGCTTCCCTGATGTGTATTATATTCAAGTGACTCCACCCGCCCCCCACTCGAACTTGTTATATTCCAAGTTAACAGTCCTTTGTCCATGTGCCTTACACACACCTTTTTATGTAGCCGTTACCTGTGCTATACTTACTACTTAACTATTTAACATTTCCCCCTCTTCCTATCACTATGAACACAAATATGGCAAAAACTTGCCTATTAAATATGGCAAGAACTTGCTTATCATATAAATCCAAATGCAAGAAACATTTCTCTACAAAACAAGAATGACCCCAGTCAAAAAATCTTTATTGGAGCAAGATTCCTGACCAGTAGTATACAGTGATGAATTCACTAAACAGAGACCTGTGCAGAAATTACACACTATCCATCTAGATAGGTCTTATTACACTTTGCCTATTGATGGAATAGTTCCACTTTTAAAGTTTTATACATCAAATAGCTTTGAATTTGACCAGGCTGCCCATTAATTCATCTCTGAAAAAATTAACTGGCATTTAATTTCAGCTACTATATTTTACAGCATTAAAAAGCTTAGGCATTAGGTAGCTTCTCAAAATGTTGTTCTATGCACAATGGCATCTAGCAGAGCAGAGTCCATCATGTCACCCAGATTCACAGACTGGTCTCATTTGAGAATAAGCTGGTACTTGAGACAAAACTACTCCTGAGTTTCTTAACCACCAATACGAACTTCCTCTGCAAGCCTGTCTTCGGGGCCACCTTTATAGTGCCAATGAAGACATGCCAGCAATAGCCCCGTGTGTAACTCGGCATTAGGCACCAGGTCTGTCTGGTGGTGGTGGCAGGCACTGTTATTATAACCCAGGTAAATATAGATCCATTTTTAAAATGCCAACTTGATATACAAAATTAAAGATACAACATACTCAGAACTAAGTTTGAGCAATCTGGTATTCCAAATATTTGAAAATTTTCAGACACTGACAGCAAAACTGTACTCATGATGTTTCCTAGCTATGGAGACAATATATTGATTCAAACCCCTTTACTCAGTCCACATAGCCCTGAGATCATCCTGCAAAGTGCGTATCAAAAAATATGGAGTTTAGTTGACAGTTTGACAATATGTAATACATGTCAAGCTTGAAATCTGTTCTGAGAGAAAAGCATCAAATCATTTGTGTACACATTTAGTTTTATTGTAACAAAGCAACTTGTACACTTTTAACGTTTAAAACTGAGCATCTTTTCTTTCCAGTGAAACAAAAAGAAAATTTAAAAATAAACAGGAACAAAATTACAATAGAGAAATGTCAATTCCGAATAAGATCCTACAGGTTCTGCTGATTCTCCCATCGAGTGGCAGGGCTCAAGTCATCATTAGGAGAGAATTTTATTTTAAAAGTGTCATCTTAGACTGCAAGGATGTCCGTTAAACATCACAATTAAACATGCCAAAGGAGAAGCCATGTTGTCAAAATGCCCACTTAACCCACCCAGACATCTCAAACCCACCCTTTGCTCACCTTCTATAACCCCCCCCTTTTTTTAAGTTTTTTTTTCTTTTTTTAAACAAGAGAAAGTAGACAGATACATGTTGGTAAATGCTAACTGTCCATATTCACATAGAGACACAGTGTAATCTCTGAGCCCAATATACAGAGAAAGGAGGGAAAAAGCTAGAATTCTATGCACTACTACACAGGGGCCTAGCAGCCTCCAGCTCCCAGCAGAGCGAAGGGAGCAGAAGGCTTTTCTTTTTTCCCACAGAGCACGTGGTGGTGATTCCATTAAGTTTTTCTTGAGACAGGAAGGGATAAAAATGAATTTGGAACAGAAAGGGGCAAAGATTCTTTTCCCACTGTATTCTGCTCAAGGTACATCCCCCCAAATAAGGTGAGGACCATGGTGTAAAGGAGAGAAAAAGAGACCTCAAAAACAGGGCGACTGAGCACAAGAGGGGGGGGGGGGGGGGGAGAAAAAGGAAAAAAAGACTGCAACTTGCTCCCAGGGACTGGAGAAAACTAAAAAAGGTTGGAATCCATTCGTGTTCATTAGTCATCTTCTCCTTCATCTTCCTGTAAGGAGAAAAGCAGGCAATTAATCTTTAGGGTTAATCCTAAAGTCACTCCCAACATTCATAGGAACCATGATGAACTCCACAGAACATGGCACACTATGAAGAATCTAATTTTATGGAACAACCTATGCTCAAATCTTAGCTGAATAAACCAGTGATTTTATTCCAGATAAATTAATTTTTCAGCACTAACCAAATCACTAGACATCTTTCAGACCAAATAATCCAAACCAAAATACAGTCTGACTATAAGAGTTTTATAGTGAATCTAAAACATGTAAATTTGTTATTTGGAAGATTTCTCCAAATATGACCAGCTGTACTATCCATACCACTTTTATTAAAGTACTGGTTAAGGAAGTACAGGATTGTGTAGTCATAAAAAACTAACCACAAAAGCAGAGCTCGTTAAAAATCACCAATACAATTTCATCAAAATTCCTCCCAATCTTATACATCAATATAGCTTATCTCTTCTATAAATCCTCCCATAATTAGTTGAGTCAGTTCCATTTTACAACATATATAACGTTTAAAATAACATGGTTTAAAGTTATCTTCCTGGATTTACCTCTCCTTCTTCCCCCTCATCATCATCTTCATCTTCTTCACCTTCATCCTCATCCCCTTCTTCATCAATATCTTCCAACCCTTCCTCCTCTTCATCATCATCATCATCTTCTTCTCCTTCTCCTTCTTCATCATCCATGTCAGGAACCTTAAAAAACCAGGAGTTATTGTTAAAAACTCATTTTCAAACCAATAAGACAAGTGCAACCTTGAATAGTAGACCACTCAACTCACCAAGTAGTACTGTAAAGGATTTGGCCAAATGTCATCTTTGATGACTTCTCCTAACTCATCTGCACCTGCATCAGAATGGTCAGTAAACCAGGTGAAGAAACTCTCTGGTTCCTCATGCTGTCTCTTCCTGCTGGCTTTATTCTGTGTTTGACTTGAACGTTTCGTCAAATCCTAAATGAAGATGGAAAAACTTTTGATGCAGGCTCTCTATAAATACTAAGTTTCCCATAATTCAAACAGCAAGAGTTTAACCCAAAGGAGAACAAAAATGTACATCAAGCCAAAACCGGTTTGGCTCAGTGGTCCCGGGTTCGATTCCGGTTAAGGGCATGTACCTTGGTTGCGGGCACATCCCCAGTGGGTGGTGTGCAGGAGGCAGCTGATCGATGATTCTCTCATCGACGTTTCTAGTGCGCGCGCGCGCTCTCTCTCTCTCTCTCTCTCTCCCTTCTTCTCTAAAAAATCAATATATATTTTTAAAAATGTACATCAATATATTATCAAACTATCATTCTCATATATGAGAAATTACAAAATATAAAGAGAAAAGGCCCTAAAATTCTAGGTCTGGAAAGACTACTGTCAAATTTGTATGACGTTTTCCTGAAAGGTACCATCATCTAATTTTTGGCTTTTTCATAAAATTAGTTCCACTTTAACAAACAGTCCAACATAGTGTTATTTAAAAGATATTTCCTAGCCGAAACAGGTTTGGCTCAGTGGATAGAGCGTCAACCTGAGAAATGAAAGGTCCCAGGTTCGATTCCGGTCAAGGGCATGCAACTTGGTTGTGGGCACATCCCCAGTAGGGGATGTGCATGAGGCAGCTAATCAATGTTTCTAACTCTCTATCTCTCTCCCTTCCTCTCTGTAAAAAAAAAAATTAAAAAAAATAAAATCAATATATATATATTTAAAAAAATATTTACTAATTAAATGTGGAAATAAATGTATTTTGGTATTGGCATGCCACTGGAAGAGCTCAATCACAAATTAAGAAACAAACAAAAACTAGTCCATTTCTATAAAAATTTGTATTGCACAAATTATGAGAGCTCCAGACTATTATATTTGACTTTAACACATAGTAGTTTGTTTTTTAATCCTCATACTAGGACATGCTGAAAGAGAGAAGAGAAGAGAAGGGGAGAGAGAGAGTGCATCTCTATCCTGTGAGAAAGTGATCAGTTACCTCCCAGACATGCCTGCTGGGGGCCTGAACCTGCAACCCAGGTATACGCCCTGACGGAGAATCCAACTGGCAACCTTCCTATGCAAAGGAGAATGTTCAACCAACTGAACCTCCCCGGCCAGATTGGAATTTTTCTTGTATTTTAAGGATTTGCATAACACATTACCAAAGCACAAAGTATTGTTACATGATTCAACGAAATCAAAATATACAAAATATTTGCCAAACAATTTCTCAAATACCTTTCCAGATTTCCATTTGATTTCAGTGGACTTTGAAGATGGATCACCACTCTCATTCAGATGAAACTCTTTGGAGAGAACTTTATTTTCGAAGTAAGGATTTTCATCAAAATACTGTAATAAGAGGATTAGAAATCAATACAAACAGCTCTTTTAACCAAAGCCCAAGTTAATATCCATAGTGGCAAACAAGAGTTACTGATACTCACAAAATCTATTCTGTAACCTGATTTAATATCTTCAAATTCTGTCACTTCAACTCTTGTCAAATAATGCAGCGCCTCTTCATCTTCTTCCCCAAGCAGTGCAGACACTAGACCAGCAAATTATAAGCCAAATGAATATTAAACAGACAAGCACTGAGTAACTTAAGTGCTTGTTAAAGCACTTAAAAATTTTTCCTAATTTAGTGAGCATCTTGGTTTCATAAATCCATTAACTGAAAATCAAATGGCTGAGTGTCAGAGCTAGCACCATCATTTTACCAAGTAATTAAAGGCAAATCCTGAGTTAGAATACAGAATCTTCTAAAGACAGAAACATTAATTATAACCCTCCCCTCTCAGTGCTTCAACTTCTACATGTAACAAACATGTTGGACCAAGTCCTCAAGCCAAGGTTCCTCTCCTCCTTAACAAGTGGGCATCCTATACTCTTTAGTAATGTTCTACTGGTAACATACCTTGTGGATGGTTGACAAATGTTGTTACCCAAAAATTTGGGATTTTGGCGATCAATTCTGACCTCTTCTGAAAAAATGGTTGGCGGAGTTTGTTATATTTCTGTTCTACTTTCAAAATCTCCTCACTGGCTTGTTCATTAAGTCTGAAGCAAATGAAAAGACATGTTGACAATGATGGTATCTGACAAATATAAAAATTGCGAAGACTACAGAATATATACTCTTGTTAGCTTTAGAAAAGGGCAAAGTACACATTTATAATAAACTGAAGCATCTAGATTTTTATATCCCTATTAAAACCAAGTCAAAACTAAGCTGGCAATTTGATCTGGGTTAGGTACTCAATAATGGGCAGTTGTTTAGGTGCCCAAACCAAGCATTTTGGTGGCATTGTACATTTACTTCAATTATTACCAGGCTAACTTCAATTCTGGGTCCCTCAGGCACATCAAAGGGGGGGAGGGGGAAACTGCTAATCAAGTCAGAGCAACACTGATGCCATAACTGTCAGAAGTCCATGCACTGCAACTCAGACAACTTGTAGCATTTAAAAGGAGACCCAATCTTTACAAAGACAATGTGCTTTCATCAAAAGTTTTTTGTTGACTACAATATTTCACAGAAAAATAACACTGACTTCATGTTTCCACTATCATAACCATCTCCATTTAGCCAATGGATAGAGATTTGACCAATTTCACAGATCTCCATACTGTAAGATGTATTTCAGAAAATGTCTGGAAATTAAGAAAAACTTTACCTGTCTATTTCATTTTGTACTTCATCAATGTGTTCAATCGCTTCTTGCTGTTCTTTTTCTGCAAAAAAAATATGCATAAAACTCAATACTAATTAGAAGACGCATTTATCTAGCTTTTCTGATGTGAGCACTGTCTGTGAGTTATACAATAAAGCTATTTGTTACCACACACACACACATACACACACACACTTGCCTGCAAGGCATGCCCTCCACGTGTTCATGCAAGTAGCTGACAAATTCAACCATTATTCACAAATCTTGCTATCTGTTAGGTATTCAAAATATTTGTAGCGTAGCACTTTTTAGCAGTTACATTACAAAAAGATACTAAATTGTTAGTTTCTATTACAAAAGACAAGGAATAAATCTTACTCAGGAATTCTTTAAGTGTTTATTATTTATCACATTTATACCTGCAATATACTAATACCCGCTGCTAAGTAAACTGTGGAAAGCAACCCATGACATTAACAAAAATCAGGACCCCACGGATCCATGGATGGAACCACACTCTTTCTAGAAAGCTGAAAACATCGCTCAGTAGCTACAACCGAAACAAGACAACCCTACAGAGACAGGAAAGGGCCCCTAGACCTGGACCACCGTAAACGCTGGACTTTTCCTCTTTAGACCCCAAGATTCGTCTCTGACCTTTCTCACCCCTCCAACCCAATTTCAGGCGGGCTGATCTCAAGATGGCCCAACACTTACAGGGAGTCAAGCTTGAAGGCAGAAAACTAGGAGCCACGGAAGGAAGAGGAGGAGGAGGAGGGGTGCTATGGGAAAGGTGCCCTTTTGTCCGGCAAAAGGCTGCAAAGCCGACCAACTAAGTGGGCGTGAAGGGTCCCGGAGGCGCGCGGCTCATTTCCGGTGACCATCCCGGGCTTTGCAGCCCCCCGTCGAGAAAGCCTTCCCGGGGAAGCAGGCGGCTTCCTAGGAGCCATCGTAAAACCCCGCCAGCTCCCTGCCCGCCGCGCCAGGTCGCTGGGCGCGCGGCCGCGGCCCGGTGGCCGCCCCACGTGGGGAGCGCCCGGGGCGACAGCAGCATCCTCCGGGCGGCCGGCCGCGTGTGTCCCCGCGCCCCCGGCCCGGCCCGGGCGAGGCGGGGGGCCGGCCTGCGGGCGGGGGCGCGGAGCCGCGGGCGGCGGGCCGGGCGCAGAGAGGGAGCCGCGCGGAGGCCCGGGCGCGGGGCCGCGTCCGGCCGCACCATGTGGCGGCGGCGGCGGCTGATGGGAGCGAGGCATCATGGCGGAGCACAATAAAGAGAGGCTTCTCGGGAGGGAGGGAGGGGGAGGAGAGCGAGGGAGGGGGAAGAGGAAGGGGGGGTCTCCTCCGCCCGCGCCGAGCAGGCCGCAGCGCCCCCGCCTCGCAGCGCCGTCCGCCGCCGCGGCGCCACCCCGGCCCGGCCCCGCGCGCACAAAAAGGGCGCCGAGGCGCGCGCCGGCCCGGCCGCCCAGCGCCCCCCGGGCCCCACCGGCGGCCTGCGGGCCGGGCGGGCGGCGAAGATGGCGGCGCGGGCCGGCCCCCGCCTCGCCTGCTCCTCACCTGAGGTCTCGTCGGCCCCGTCGTGGTTGGAGTTGAGCTCCTTTTTACTGACTTTGGCCGCCGGCGCCGACATGGTGCTGCTCCGCGGTCGGGGGGGGAGCGGGGAGGGGGAGCGCAGGGACGGCGAAGGGGGCGGGCAGCGGCTTCCCCTCACGCCACACGCGCGCGGGCGCTCGCTCGGTCCGGCCGCCTCCTCCCGCGCCGCTCGTTCTCCCTCCCCCTGCCTCGCGCGCGCTGCCCTCGCGGCCTGGCGACGAGGGCGAGGCTGCGGCGGCGTGCCGGGCCCGGCCCGGGCTCCTGCTTACGGAGGGGAGGCGGCGGCGGGCGGGCAGGCGGCCGGGCTCCTTCACTCACGCTCCGCGATCCAGCTCGCTGCTCGTTCTCCCCGAGTCGCCTCCTCCTCCACCTCCTCCTCTCCGCGAGGGGCGGGCGGCAGGGCGCAGGCGCGCCAGGCCCGCGCGCAAGCCCCGCCCCCGGCCGGAGGGGCTCGCGCCGCCCGGCCATTGGCTGCGGAGCCGGGGCGAGGGGGCGGGGCCTCGGCGCGGAGACACAGGGCCTGGCGGAGAGGCGGGAGGAAGGAACGCGGCGACGTACGGGGCCGGCCCCCCGCGCCGCGCGCCCCTCCCCCGCTTTCCCCTTCTCAGGCCCGACCCGGGACATTTGCGCGCTACGGCGGTCAGGGGCGGGGCCTCGCGGCGCCGCGCGCAGGCTCCCGGGATGAGCGCGTCACGTGGTGGCGAAGCGGTTTCCCTTCTCCGCCGGGCGGAGGGGAGTTCGCAGCCCCCCAAAAGTGCAGGCCTCGTAGTAGCATTGGGATCCAGAAATAACCCACCCCAGGTTCTTTCTGCGCCCTGGGGGGATGTGCCAGGGCATCCCCAGGGGAGGCAGCGCCTCCATCCTATCTTCCAGATGGGGAAAAGGCTATTTTTACCCACTCAGGCTTTGCAAAGCACCCCAAGCTGTCCAGTTCACTCACATGGCCTTTTCCTGGCTTTTAGTGCAAGCTCTGCCCAGCGGGCTGTGTGCCCTTGGGCAAGTCACTTCCCCTCTCAACCAATTTGTTCTAGAATGATCAAATGCAAAGAAGGCTGACAAATGGGACTGGGTCAGTGGTAACATTTAAACGGGGCCGAACTGAAGTGGAAGTCTTCTGAAGGCAGTGAGTGTCCTTTTTGGCCCAACTCTGTGCCTGATGCTTGCAAAAGGGCCGGTCCTGGACAAGTGCAGTGTGTAATTCATTAAGGCCACACAATTGACCAAATGGAGTAGAGAAGGGTGTTAAAATTTATCTCACCCGATGATAGGGCCAACAAAGGCCTGCTTTAGGCCAGGTCTTGAACCATTAATCAGGGTCAAGGCATTCCTGTTAAAATATGCTTTCTAGCTGAAACCGGTTTGGCTCAGTGGTAGAGCTGTCTGTCTGCAGACTGAAAGGTCCGGGGTTTGATTCCAATCAAGGGCATGTACCTTGGTTGCGGGCACATCCCCAGTAGGGGGTGTGCAAGATGTTTCTCATTGACATTTCTAGCTCTCTATCTCTCCCTTCCTCTCTGTAAAAAATCAATAAAATAAAATAAATATGCTTTCTAGGCAATGCAAAGGCACCTCCCTCTACTCCTTCCTCCAGGGTCCCTAGACATGGACCTTAAAAAGCTTCCCTGGGCAATTGTAATCAGAATTTGAGATTGGGTCATTTGCCTTCCAGCAAACAGTGTCTTTCTTTAGTCCGTGGTGAGTGATCAATAAATGTTACATGGGTACAGAATACATGTATCTTCTGGAGACTTCCCCCAAAACCCAGAAATTTATCTAATCCTTCCCCTCCAAACCTGAATCTCAATGAGTCCAGCTCAATCCATTTCTATCCCAATTGCACAGGCGTAAAAGTATTATTAAATGTTTGAAAACAAGATTCCAGAAGAGAAGGAAAAAACACCACCAAAACCCCTGTTTTGCAGCATTTGCTGGTTTTGGTGGTGCATACATACTCTCACGATGGCCAGTTTCCTGCCACCATTGTGATGGTACTGAGTTGGAAAGAAATACCAGGCTCTAGCGCATTGCTGAAGCATGGCCCATGGCCCACGGGCTTGTTGTAAGCACATACGTTTTCTCATTCAATCGTCATGACACACAAGGTAGGTTATCAATATCCTTATTGCACAGACAAACTCAACTTTTCTATGCAAGTGGCAGAGCCAAGACTCTAGTTCAGGCTAGTGGACAGCAAGCGCCTACTCTATGACAGTTTTCCCATTTGGGGCATGACCTATACAGTACAGGCACATTTGACATCAAAAACCCCGAAACAATGCTTTACCCTTCCTATTTTTCTTTTCTTTAGATCAGGGTGCGCTCCACTAAACTGACTTCACGACCTACAAATGGGATGAAACATTCTGAAAGACACTGTGCCGAGGGCTGCAGCTACACAGAGCATGCTCCAAGGCGGGTACGGGGACCCGCAGCATCCCTCCGCGGCTGAGGCACTGTTGCCCAGGCATCTGCAGAGGCTCCACGGGCCTTCCACACCCCCAGCCCCCGGAGCACCTGCCCCTCCTCCTGACCTTTCTCATCACCGCACTCCAGACGCTTGCAAAGCTGAAGCGTATAATTTTGTTAATCAGCGTCACCCAAAATTCAATACAACAGGACAAAAAATTTTGGATGAATGCAAGATCACACACTAGGAAGTGGAAGAGAAAGCAAAAGGGCAAACGTTTCAGTAAATAAGGGAGCGGCATTGGACACCCGAGAGAGAACTCATCCCGGCGCCACATTCACTCTGGTCTACGGCACTCTCCTGGGCCTCACTCAGAACCCCTCCCTCTCCTCTCCTCCCGTTTCTTTGAAGGAGAACCCCAAGGCTTAAGCATTGGGACAGATGTTGGGGTTCCCAACAGCACAGCAGTGTCTCGGGATGAAGAGGAAACCTTAGCTAGGATGACCTCCAACACACACACACACCCATTTCTGAGCCTCCTTTTCCTGTGCTCCAAAAGGGGGCCATTACCCCCCGCTGCCCTGCTGTGAGGGCTGATGGGGAGAGAAGTGCGAATGGCCTGAGCCGTCACCAGGTCTGGATGAACCTCAGAAGGACAGCGGTGCACACCGCGTGGTCCTGTGAGCGCTCCCAGAAGCTAAGCGGAAGGAGGCCAGGAACCCTTGTCTATACTTTGCTGCTCACAGGAGTGGGGGGAGCTTACCCATCTCCAGAGCCCAGTTTGGGTGCCAATCGGGGTCCTACGTGGTTTACTTCTATTCAGGCCACCTCACAACAAGCCTGAGACGGGTACATGTTGAGCCCATTTTACACAAGAGAAAAGAAACACGCCGGTTCCTTCACTCAACCAACAAGATCACAGCCAGGTACAGCCAGGTGTCAAACCCTGGCTCCAGCTTTGCCACACGGGGGCCATCTGCTGGGGAGGTCTGCGTGCCATGGGACCTTGCCCAGGGAAGCCAAGCTGGGCACATCCTCCAGCACACCCCTAGGAACCCGTGGATGCGGATTCTGGCTCCTTCCACCTCAGTCAGGTCTGCAAACCAGGAGGATTCACAAACCCCTAGCCTAGCCCCTTCCCCGAGCCAGCGGCCACACTTTCCCAGGCCAGTGCCATCCCGCCTGCCTTCCACCTATCCAAACCCGTCCCCACATCCCCGCTCCGGCAGGGAGGCCTCATCACCTGGACAACCCACTCTGTGCCGGGCTCCGAGCTGTGTGCCTGCAAAACGCAGCAGCCACACCTCCAAGTTAGGGGTTCATTGGGGGGGAGGGGGGAACATGAAACCCAAACTACAAAGTACTGATGTCGGGGCCACGCCGGGTGACCCCAGGAGCCGCCGGGGCAGAGGGGGCCTCCTGGCCCAGCAGCCGCAGCTCGGCGGAGGACGCGTGCGGGTCCGCAGTGACTTTTGGGCGGAGAGCTGGGCCAGGGGGCCCGCGCAGGTAGGAGAGGTGAGTGGATCCTGCCGAGAACAAGTCGGGGTCCGGGTCCCAGGGGAGAGAGCAGAGCCCCAGGCCAGGAGGTGAACGGAGGTGAGCGGTGCAGGAGGGGGCTGGAGCCTGGAGAGGGAGCTGGTGGGGGCCGGGGGGGGGGGGGGCCGAGGGGGAAGGCCCTGCAGATCTCAGTCTGTACCTCGGGGCAATGGGGAGGCGAGGAAAAAGGGTTTTAAGCCCAGGGTCACGTGACCGGCTCCGCGCGGCTGGGAGGGAGGAGAAGGTTGGAAGCAGGGGAGGAAGAGGAGGAGGCTGGAAGCGGGGGAGGAAGAGGAAGAGGCTGGAAGCGGGGGGTGGGGGGGAGGAAGAGGAGGAGGAAGAAGCTGGAAGCGGGGGGAGGGGGAGAGGAAGAGGCTGGAAGCAGGGGGTGGGGGGGAGGAAGAGGAGGAGGAGGAAACCAGAATGTGGGCGAGCGGCGCAGAGCTGGGGAGCGAGGTGGAGGGACCGGCGGGGTTTTGGAGGTAGGACCCCGGGGGCTGAAGGACCCCACGGGCTCCCCCGGGCTCCGGCGGGCCGGCGGCGCTGCACACCCAGACGGGGTCCCGGAAGCCGGGGGGCCGGGCCGGGGGAGCGCGCACGTGCTCCGGGGCGCCCCGTCGCCCCCCTCCGGCTTCTCCTGCGCCCAGACCTCCTCCACTCACCCCCAGGCTCCCAATAACCCCCCCGGGGGGATCGGAGCCCGCACCCTAAACTGCCGAGAGAGACCAGCGGGGGGGGGGGTGGAATCACGTGGAAGCCAAAACCCACTTTGCAAGCCTCCCGCCCCCGCGGAGCGGGCGCAGACCCACCTCCCTTGGGCACGTCCGGGGCGGCCGGCTTCCTCTCGGGCTTGGGCGCCGGGGCGGCCCGGGGCTTCTTGGGCGGCGGCGGCGGGGCCGGGCGCTTGGGGGCCATGCTGCGGGCCGCGGAGGGAGCCGAGCGGGAGGCGGCGGCGGGAAGGCGCGGAGCTCTGGGCCCGCCCAGGTGCGGGAGGTTTAAATGGGCCGGAGCCGCCCTGCCTGCGGGGGCGATTTACATGACAGAGGGACACACACCTCCGTCCCCTCCCCCGCCCCATCCCTTTCTCCTCCCGCCAATCAACACCCGCTTCCCGGGCCCTCCGGCTCTCCCCGGGGCCGAGGGGGCGGGGGAGCCGGCTGGGCGCTCCCGGACCCTCCGGTCTGCCGGCCTGAGACCCCCGCCGCCCGCCCCCCATCTTTCCCCAAACCCGCTCCGTGGCCGTGCGGACAACTTCTCTTCTTTTTCCCTTTGGCCTCCAGAAGACTCAGATGTGACCTGGCCTCACCCCAGCCTGGAATGTTCTCTAGTCCTCCCCCCACTCCACTCCCACCCCCTCCAGCTGGCTAACTCCTGCCCCAACCTCCAGGTCTCAGCCTGGAGGAGTAAGGGGATATGGAACTAAAGCAGTGGTCGGCACACTCATCAGTCCCCAGAGCCAAATAGCAACAGGACGACGATTAGCATTTCTTTTGAGGGCCGCATTTTTTAAACTTAAACTGTAAAGGTAGGTACATTGTTATTCACTTAATCAGAGTGCTCCTAAGCAGGGCCTTGGTAACAACTCAAGGGGCCAAAGAGCCGCATGGGGCTGAAGGAAAGGATTCCCAACAAGAATGACAAAGAGCCTAAACCGGTTCCGCTCAGTGGATAGAGCGTCGGCCTTCGGACTGAAGGGTACTGGGTTTGATTCCGGTCAAGGGCATGTACCTTAGTTGTGGGCATATTCCCAGTAGGGAGTGTGCAAGAGGCAACTGATTGATGATTCTCTCTCATCGATGTTTCTAACTCTCTCTCTCTCTCTCTCTCTCTCCTCCTCTCTGTAAAAAAATCAATAAAAAAAGTAAATGACAAAGAGAGAAAAGCAGGTACCCTGGCGAGGAGAGAAGGGTGAGGAGTTCAAAGAGGCTGTGGAAAGCACTGGAGTCCCAAACCCCAACCCCATGCCTGTGGGGCCCTGTCGGGAATAACTCGGGGAAAGCCAGGTGTGTGGAACTGGACTGGAATTCCCAGTAGTTAGCGGAGGTACCTGGGTACAGTCACCCTGGGAACCTGCCAGTACCACGTGGGCGGAACTGGATGCTGACTGAGCACCAACACAGGGTGGGGCAAAGTCAGTTTACCGTTGTCCCTAAGGAAAAAATAATAGGTGTGGAAAACAACACAAGAATAAACTGTGTCCATACTCACAACTGGAAACCGACTGTTGCCCCACCGTGTGTGTGTGTGTGTGTGTGTGTGTGTGTGTGTGTGTGTGATTAGTGTGCGCTAGAACGTGCATATACGTGCATATCGCTGAGATTCATAAAGCCAGAACCTGGAAAAATACTAATGTCTGTCAGTGGTCAAATGAATACTGATACACTAGGACAAGGAAACAAATGAACTACAGCTACTTGCCATGATGTGAATGCAGCCCGCAAACTTAATGTTGAGTAAAAGACACCAATTTTTTTAAATTTGAGAGAGGAAGGGAGAGGGAGCGGGAAATAGAAACATCAATGATGGAGAGAATCATCGATCGTCCTGGACATGTGCCCTGACTGGGAATCACTTCCTGGTTCTTAGGTCCACGTTCGACCACAGAACCATGTTGTCGGGCTGGTCAGGCCACTCTCAGCCTGTGGCTCATGAGTTTGCAGCATCTGAGATAATACAGTGATTTTCCTTTAATTTTTCTTTCCATTAGCTACCCTCTTAACAAAGTAAATCTCAACCAGGGCAGTGTGCTCAGCGGTTGAGCATCGACCCATGGATCAAGATATTAAGAGGTCCCAGGTTTGATTTCCGGTCAGGGCACATGCCTGGGTTTTCGGCTTGATTCCAGCCGGACATGCAGAAGGCAGCCTCCATCAATGTTGATGCATCGATGTTTCTATCTCTCTCCCTTCCTCTCTCTCTCTCTCAAAAAAAAAAAAAAAAATCAATTAAAATAAATAAATAAATACATCTCAGGCATAACACAATGATGTCAATAGCAGTAAAAAGCTGAGGTCTCTGGTGGAAAACCCACACAATGACCTCTTTGGGCTCCTCCTCAGACATTTTGTAAGTCCCAGTGTCCTGGTTTTCGCAGGTCGGCAAGCTGAGACCTGAGAGAAGTGATTTGCCTCAGGTCATGAGGAAACTGAGTTATAGCTGGAACCAGGTCTACGGGATCACTTTCTCACAGGGATAACCAGCCTAATTCTCAGTGTTCACATCTATAAAATGGGTGATAAGAATGCCTGCCTCTTTGTTTTAGAATTTTCCATTTGAGGGCAAAAGGGTCATCTTTTTCCTGTCTTCACCCCCAGAAATTACCCAAAAACAGTATGGAAAACAAAAATGAAAATTCTCTTAATGAAATTGGGCGTTAGCCAAACCCCAACACACAGAATGAATAAGTGACTGGATGGCCAGTGAGGAGGGACAGGAGCCCTGGCTGCTGTGCTGAATGGTTAGAGCATAGGCCCTCACACTGAAGGGTCATGGGTTTGATTCCCGGTCAAGGGCACTTATCTTGGTTGCAGGTTTGATCCCACGCCCCAATCAGGCATGTGTGGGAGCAACCAATTGATGTGTTTCTCTTATATCAATCACTGCCTCTCTCTCTCTCTCTCTCTCTCTCTCTCTCTCTCTTTCTCTCTCTCTTTCCCCTCTCCCCCACCACCCTATTCCTTCCACTCTCTCTCTCTTAAAAAAAAAAACTATGAAAAATATCCTCGGATGAGGATTAACAAAAAAAGAGAGAACGAACAGGATGTCTGCAGGAAGAGTGTTCTGGGGTATCAGCAGCCCACACCCTGGAAGCAGAGCAACAAACCCAAACCCCAGGCTGGAGCAGAGTGTTCTTTTTTTTTTTTTTTAATATTTTTTATTGATTTTTTATAGAGAGGAAGAGAGAGGGATAGAGAGTTAGAAACATTGATGAGAGAGAAACATCAATCAGCTGCCTCCTCCACACCTCCCACTGGGAATGTGCCCCCAACCAAGGTTCATGTCCTTGACCAGAATCGAACCTGGGACCCTTCAGTACGCAGGCCAATGCTCTATCCACTGAGCAACACCGGTCAGGGCATGGAGCAGAGTGTTCTAACAGGATGTTGCACCAGGCAGCGTAGTTCCTAGAAACAAAGGAGCTAAATGAGCCAGAGGAGCTTCAAAACACAAATACAAATCAGAGGTACCTCGAAATACCCTTCCTTCTCCTCCTCCTCTTCTTCTTCTTCTTCTTCTTCTTCTTCTTCTTCTTCTTCTTCACCCATCAGGTCCAGAAATTTGGAAACTACCAGGGAAAGGGTGTGAAGAGAGGTCCCTACAGCTTCAATGGATACAGCCACTTGCAGCTTTCAATGGATATAATCTTGTGGGGGGCAATCTATCTTCTCTATCTATAAAAGCCTAATATGCAAAGTGTCCTCTCAGGAGTTTGACCAGGAGAATCCAATCACTCGCTATGACATATGCTGACCACCAGGGGGTGGCACGGAACAAAGGAACTCCCCGACAGGCAGACAGAAGGCCCTGATTGGCCCTGATCACTGGCCAGGCCTAGGGACCCTACCTGTGTACGAATTTCATGCACCACGCCTCTAGTTTAGCAAAAGTAGAAAAACACGTTCTTTTGACCTAGAAATTCCCCTTCAAGGAATTTATCCTGCAGATTCACTGCTCCACTGTGAGATGATTCCTACACAAGGCAATTCACTGCAACTTCGCGACAGCAAAAGATCGGGAACAGCCTCACTTCAGGCTTCTAGAATGCTCTGCAACAAACAACATAAGTAGGAGACCGGAGCTATAGTGAAGCGAAAAGTAAAGTCCTAAACCAAGGAGTTAGCATGTTTACCATGTGTATAGGAGGGGGAAGAAAAAGACACACCTTCACGTATTTCCCTGTATGTCTAGAACTCAAGGACTTAACAGAAGGACTTTTATGAAGGTGATAACTCTGCCATCTCTGGGGGGGGGGGGGGGGGCCTGGGTGATGAGAAATGAGAGGACGGAGTACAGAGAGATGGTTCATCTTTTTTTTGAGGTGTTTCATTCTTTGCCCTGCTATACATTTTGAATTTTGAATCTTATGACTATGTTGCACTTTAAAAAATTATCAATTGGCCGAGATCGGTTTGGCTCAATGGATAGACAGACTGTCGGCTTGGGGACTGAAGGGTCCCGGGTTCTATTCCAGTCAAGGGCATGTACCTTGGTTGCGGGCATATCCCCAGTAGGGGGTGTGCAAGAGGCAGCTGATTGATGACTCTCTCTCATCGATGTTTCTAACTATCTCTCTCCCTTCCTCTCTGTACAAAATCAATAAAATATATTTTTTTAAAAATTATCAATTGATCGAAACTGGTTTAACTCAGTGGGTAGAGTGTCTGCCTGCGGACTGAGGGGTCCCGGGTTCGATTCTGGTCAAGGGCATGTACATTGGTTGCGGGCACATCTCCGGTAGGGGGTGTGCAGGAGGCAACTGGTCGATGTTTCTCTCTCATCGATGTTTCTAGCTCTCTATCCCTCTCCCTTCCTCCTGTAAAAAAAAAAAATCAATAAAATCAATTGATTGACTGATATGAAGAGAGAGGAAAGGAGAGAGGGAGAAAAAAAAGAAGAGAGAGAGAGAGAGAGAGAGAATACATTCATTGGTTAATTCATGCATGTGCCCTGACCTGGGATTAAAGCTATAACTTTGAAATATCAGGAAGTCTAACGGCCCTGGCAGGTTTGGCTCAGTGGATAGAGCCTTGGCCTGCGGGCTCAAGGGTCTCAGGTTCGATTCCTGTCAAGGGCATGTCCTTTGCTTGCGGACACATCCCCAGTAGGAGGTGTGCAGGAGGCAGCTGATTGATGTTTCTAACTCTCCCTCTCCCTTCCTCTCTGTAAAAAATCAATAAAATATATTATTTAAAACA